ATATATATATATATATATATATATACACACAATATATACTTTTTACAGGTATGAACTGTATGACCCATGTACAGTAATGTTCTTCTTCAGAAACAAACACATCATGATAGATTTAGGTACTGGAAACAATAACAAAATAAATTGGACCCTTGAGGACAAACAGGAAATGATCGACATTATTGAAACAGTTTACAGAGGTGCAAGGAAAGGTCGAGGTTTAGTTGTCTCTCCTAAAGATTATTCTACTAAATATCGATATTAATTTATTTGTAAAATATATGAAATATATAATGTTTTTGTATTTTGAAAATAGATAATAATGCTATATTTATTTCAAGGCAATACGTTACATTAGAGCTGGGATTTAGTTGTACATTTCGACCGATTTTCAGCTTGATTCCTGCCCTTTACTTTTACTTCATCAACCCGCGTACAGCTTGAATGTTGATCGGCCATTGAACCAAGCTGAAAATCGGCCGAAATGTGCAACTAAATCTCAACTATGTATTACATGATGAAAGAAGCTAGATGAATGACTTTGAATGGATGAATTGTAATTTATATTGTGCATATTTAAAAAATATAAGATAAAATAAGCATAAAGTACAAGATGTATAAATTATATGAATAAGTGTACATACGACTTGTCAATAATACATATATTTTAAAGAATTTTATAAAATTTTTTATTTACTATTTTGTTTTTGATTTATATTTAAATGTATGTTTTAGTTAAATATCCATCTCTGTTACTTAAAATGTTTTGTTGGACTATATTTCCTTAAGACATATATTAGGCAATAATGTTGGTAAACATATTTGGTATCACATGATGTATTCTGGCTTCTGATGTATATATTCATATGTATATAGAAATATTCATACATAAAATTGCAATTATTTATAAAAAAAATGGTACGTAAAGTATACAATATCAATTCTATCTTAAGATTTCTTATATTCTAAGATAATTATATTTACATGTAATTACAGTGTATACTTTGGTCTAACATCTAAGTATTAATGATTAATTTAACACGTGAATAATTATAAACAATTCAGTCGTCTCTCACATAGCTGCAAAATAGATTTAGTAAATTACTTAAAATGATGAAAAATTTGTAAATTATTCATAAATTATATATTTCATAAATTAAAGAGATAGACTTACTATTTGTTACATGTTGTACACTATCGCCAAGTACATCAGTTGGACTTGAATAAATTATTAATGGAATACACTCCTGTATTAAACTTTCTCTATTTATTAGCTTGTACGAATCCCTCAGTGGTTTAAAAATACAATTCAGAGTGCGGGATTTTTCTGAAAATTAACATCGTTCTTATAATGAAAATTTTATATACATATCACACACACACACACACACACACACACACACACATAAAACACATGTACTGATATCTCTTACTGACCTAGAGGTATGTGATGAGTTTTTGTATTTAAGGCATCCATTGATTTGCATTGTCTCAGATCTTAAAATAAAATTATATAGGATAAAATCTATTACATTATATAAATGATATTTCAAATAGATAATATTGAACAAAATCATGTTTTCTTGCTATTTAATTTTTGATACAGCATATACTTAATATAATTTAAATTCATGAGATTTTATTTCAGTCTTACCGTTATTTCTTGAAATGGACCGAGAAAAGAGAGTATCGATTGATTCCAGAGATATGGAGTTATGTTTTTTTACTGGAATAATTTTAATCATGCAATATATTAGAAGGTTTAATAATTAGTTAAAGATATAAACAATTGTGCAATATAGAACTGACTCAAAAAAAGCAGTTTGATTATAGCTTACAAAAGTTGTTAGAAAAACACAATAATAAAATTTTGCTTTTCAATATAATGCCAAAAATAATCACTCACTAATTAAAGTACAATTTATTCGTTCCATATTGCATTATGTCCAATTCATAGCAAGCATATATCAGCTGCAAAATTATTCTCAAATCATACATAGAGAAGCAATGAATGTTATATGTTTAGCTCAAACGATATTAAATAAATATACGAAAGAGTGAGAAATATATATAAGTAAAGCAAGAGGGAAATGCAAAGCGGAAAAAGATAACGCGATCCAAGCATTTTGTTCCTACCTCATCACGTATTAAATAGTTGGAGAGACTCTCATTCTGTAGTACAAAATAGATTAGTGTTATTTCTATCGTGCTTTCTTATACTTATTAATAATACCATAAAAGTAAAGAAAATATCTAGTTTGCTACAGGGAATAAAGTACATATACATATATATTAAATATATAATACATACATATTTCAAGGTTGTTGACTAGAGTTGTGTCTGAATTTATTGTGTCTTTGGCTTTCTTAGGAGTGTTCTCATATATTGGCTCAACTGGTGGTGGTTTGTCTAAATGCAAGATAATATAAGTTTTTTCTGAGAGGGAGAAGTATATCAATCATAGTATTTTAAAGGATACTTACAAGTTTTTAAGAAATAAGGATTCTTGAGTACTTGTTTTATACAATTATATATATAAGCGTATTGACTCTGAAAAAATGTTTTTTTTATATTATACGAATTTATACAAGTATTAATGTATACAATAGTTTTTAATTAGTAAAAAGAAACAAATATGTAACATGGATGAAATTAATTATTTTTTAGTAAAAACATCGATTTTTCGCAACTTCTTAAATTTTAATATTCAATCTAATCTTAATATTTAATCTAATATCTTATCTAACCGAAATACAGATTACAATTTTTTTTTTAATTTTGTATTATTTAACTATGAATCACTTACTTCTCTTTGTACCATATTTATTCTATGATGTCGTAATCTATACACAGTTCCAAATACATCTAATTTTCTATTATCTCTAATTTGTTGCAGAAGTATATCTATCGCTATTAATGTTCCTGTTCTACCAATCCCTGCACTGTAAAGAAATGATATTTTCTATCATTAAGAAGAAATGAATTAACATCGTATGATTGAAATGCAAAACAGCTCTATTCATAGACAATTTGTTCATACCTGCAATGAACAACCACGAAACCTTTATTAGCGATAATATTGCGGCGCATTATTTGGCAAAAATTGATCATTGGATCGAAATCTTCTGGGACATCGTGATCGGGCCAGTCTTTAAAGTGCAAGTGAATAATATTTCTTTTCTTATTTTCCTGTAATTATTTGTACTTTTTACAAATGTTTTTTCATAAAAAATTTTGTAAGTACGTATATAAGTATTATTCATATTAAAAAAGATACCTTTTGTAATACAAGCGTTCTTTGGGTATGTGTTCTAAAGTCCAATTCACTTGTACATCGTATTATCATGTCTTCGTATCGAAAAATTTCTCCTGTTGTCGGATAGTATTGATGACATTTCTCCTGAAAGCAGATTAATGTACGATAAATTGCATTAACATTATACTTTACTTATACTAATTATTATCGATAATTGCAATTTACTTTGCCCTTCTCGACCAACTGTGTCAACATAACTATAATATTAATGTTGTACTGATTGATCATTCTCCAGAAATCGTAAGTAGTTTCCTCTTTTGGACCTTGACAAGCTATGTATTCATCTTCTCCTGTATATCCCTGCAAAATAAATTCACATTTTTTTCATTTGTAAAAGACATTCAATAATTCTTGTTAAAAATAGAGATGATTTCTCCTTTAACAAAATTTCATAATTTTGAGTTTTTTAAAATTATTTTTAAATTGAATGTCCCAAGATATCCAATTAACTATTTTATTAAATTAAGACTATTAAGATATAATTCATAAAAATTAGAAAAAGAATTATATTTGTTTCACATAAGTGTAATTCATAAAAGAATTTTTCTTCTTAATTAGTTACAATTTAAAATCATGTTTTCATTCATCTTTTTTAGAACCATTTATGATATTTTTAAGCAAGAATTATTTCAATCTTTAATAGAGGAAGATTATCGGATTAACCCACACATGTGCGTATGTAAAATATTTACCCTTATAAATGATGCATTGATATAATCCGTATTAGGGTCGTTATCTATTACATCCAGCTTTACTCTTGAGAAATCATCTGAAAGTATAAATCATATATAATAGTTGCTGCAAGTTGTTAGTATGCGTGAGTGAATTGCAAGACAAGTTCGTACATGGTAAAATGTCGGAGTAGCGATTTTTTTTTCGATTAGCTTGCAAGCAAGCTGAATTTGTGGGCATCTGCAAATCGACGCTGAGTGTCTGGAGCAGCCGAAATTCATTGCTCAATTTACCAGGATTGTCTACCAATTGCTGACAATGGCTCATGAATTTTCTTCTGGTGAACGGCGCGGGTACGGGTGAGCCGGGCATGTCAGAGTGAAGAAATCTTCGCAATACTCTGGAATAGAAGAAATTGCGGCTAAGATTTATTCTATAAATCGATGTGTTAATATATCTTATCGTGTGTATTTATTTAATCAATAAATACGCGATCAAAAATCTAATGAGGATAAGATACGTCTGAAAAAATATACGCGCGCGCGTGTATGTGTGTGTGTGTGTGTGTGTGTGTGTGTGTGTGTATGTGCAGACGGATTTAGACAGAGGCCCGGGTCTAAGTACGCCATTTTTCTAGGAGCACAAGAGCGTCATTCTTTTAGAGACCAAAATTAAAAGGTCCGTTCTTTTTTCACAACAAGTTCTGAACTGGTGTACACTAATGCAATAAGTTAGAGTGAGACAGGTATAGTTTGTTTCACTTTAACATATTGCATTATAGTTAAAAACTAGTGTGTGTGGTGTGTGTGTGTGTGTATGTGTGTGTATATATATATATATATATATATATATATATACATACAGAATTCTTCGAAAAAGAACAAACGGAAAGTTAATTTTATATTTGTGTAGGATTGTCACACATTTGTGACGCATTTTTGCTAATGTGGCACCTTGAAGTAGTGCTTTGGCGCACAAAAATAAAATCTTGACGTTTTGGTGAAAAAATGATACCTTTCGATACCTATTTTTATTCTTCATTTGTCTGAAAGGAACGCCAAGTGTCTTAAAAGGGCGCCAAGAAGTACAGGGCCTAAGGTGCAAAAATGTGTAAATCCACCACTGTGTGTGTGTGTGTGTGTGTGTGTGTGTGTTTAAAAAATTTCTCTTTTAAACAAATTTAAAGACAAGTTTTACGTTAAAGCCAAAAAATTGTATTAAGCGAAGTATTGACCGTTTTTTCCTTCTTCTTTCTACTATCTTTCAAGTAGCTTCATTATTTCGTTCTCGTTGAATACACATTCACATTATGTTAATTTGACAAAAGCTGTCTATTGAAAAAAAAAAACAAGAAGACTTTTATGTAATCTATATACACATATCTCACAATAAAATAATAACACATACAATAAAATAACGTACCTAATAAAAAAATAATATTATAATATATAACACATAACAATATATATATGTAAAATAGTGGAGATTAAAAAATCGATCTCTAAATATGGATTTAACGTTTCTGTTAACGCATTTGACGAACGTCATCGAAGTAACGAAGAGAATCGGAGAAGTGCGCAATAGTATCCGTGTTTCGTGTATACGCATGTCTTTCCTTCACCGGTGTAGCGTAGGTAGCTCATTCACAGTAGGGGAATAACGAAAACTTACGCAATAAACATATACGCGTCTGACTAGAAACGGACTCAAGGACTCGATTTCCTCGCAAAGATCAGAGTCATAGCCGAATCTATCAATCTCGTCGGCGTTGATTTCTATTGTCTCACTCGTATCTCATTCTCGCGCACGTGAAACCATTTCCGAAGTAATATAAAAATACACTCGACTTTTTAGTGCTCAGCACGCGGTAGTTCGACGACGTTTAAACCTCATCGAGCACCGAGCCCGTAATGTACTGTATATTTTAGCGTGCGATAGACGCGCGACCTTGCTCACGCGCTTTAACTATAGTTCTCTCTTCTGAGTCATACAATAAATATCGATCATTGTTCATTGCGCGTCCACCTGTCCTGTATACTTCAAGTTTACGCATCGCCGTGACGTGATTTCGCTGGATCCGAATGTTATTGCAGCTACTTGAAACATTTTTTTTTTTCAGAAACTATTAAAAATCTTATCTTATATAGTTTGCGATGTAAAACGAGATAATCTATCATCAATTATCTTCGATCGACATCGTTTAATCAAGATACAAGAACTTATGTCGGTACGCGTTAATGGCTCTCTCTTTTTTTTTATCTGTTATGTACGTATGTAATAATAATGAAATTTTATTTTACATGTACGGTGAGCATTTTCGTACAAGCAACATCATCGTCACTGCTATTCCCATGGAAAGAATGCCGAAGACAGCTCCGATAACGAGAGCGATGTTGAGTTCTGCGTCTGGTATGGAAAAAAAAAAGAGGATGAAATATATGTTTTTCATATTTCTGTTACATAAGATGTTTGTATTAGATGGACTATTTGCTGACCGATAATTACAACATATATACTTACTCGTTTTTATCATGAATATCTCAGAATCAGTGTAACCACCGTCAGTAAACGCCCTCATTCTGACATGATACCATGTATCCGGATTAAGAGGTCCGTTACAATACACCCGCTCATCCATGTTAGACGAGATCTCCTTGCAATTAACGTCCTCCCCGATCGTATACTTGACGGCTTTTATGTGCCCGTAATCAGCAATGTAATTCGCTAAACAGAGTCATAAGTATTTAATAATGTATGCGCAGCGAGGTTTCGCGTTTCATCGCTTTGTAAACAATCATCCTGCATCTATCTACGGGCATATCACCTACGATAAGGATTCCAATGTGGCCATGTCGCTTGATACGTGATTGAGAAATCGTTCATCATCGCTTCCTCCCAGGAGGGCACATTAGGCCAATTATTGCTCTTCGGGTCGAACCTCGTGTTTGCTCGTATATTATTGTATCCCATCTTCGCCACCATGATCGCATAATACTTGATTTCGCCGCTGATATTGGGGAATAGAGGTAGCAAAATTGCAGCCGTCGTTGTGGTTTTGCGCGCCTTGTACGGATCCAGAGTGATTGATTTAACAATTTCATCTGTAGGCTGTGGCGGTACTGTGATAGGAAAAAAAACTCTTAATTGTGAAATCAGAAAAATTGAAGAAAATATATTTTTTATCACAGAGCTTGTTCCGTCACTTCTTTTGCAATTTACATGGAGAACACAATGATAGTAATAATATAATACATTAGGGTCTGCTTTGAACGATTTACAATTCGTATTAAATTTTAGAACAAAATTGTCACGAATCGATAATTTTACAAATCGTGCATTTTATTATTTATAAAAGTATTATTTTTATACGTGTATATATATAGAAACTATTTAAGTATTTTTTATATTATTCGATATAAAGTTATAAATAGAATTTTATCTCGAATTTTGATATAAATCTAAGGAAAGCTTGATATATTAAAGGAGAGATTTATTAATGAGAATTGATATTCACGTTGATACTTACTTCCGGCAGGATACAGCACGTTTTGATTAACCGGCCCTCCGAGTGTATCGACATTTCTGACTTTGGTGGATATTGTGAAATTATAATTATACTCTCCTTTCAACTCGTTGAGATTTATCGAACACATGTAATCGTTGCGAATGTAATCCGTGCATTCATATTTCTTAAAAATAAAATGAGATGGATATCCAAATCTAGTACCAACACCCGATACATTAAAGAATTCGAGTTCACCGTTTAATGAACATGGTAAGCCCCATGTTAGAATTGTATCCAATATATTCGTATCATTTGAATTTTCTTTGATTGTAATAGATGAGGAATTGAATTTCGAGATTTCTCCTGGAACTGAATAATCATAACATTTAATTAAAATATTCAAGAAAGGTGAAAAGACTCAGGTATATCTTATAGTTGTTAAATGATCTTCGTAATTATATGAATATTTTACTAATAATAATGCTAATTATTTATCAACGCATATTTATTTAATTCAAATTATTTGTTTTAAAATTTTATTCATGAAAAAATATTAATAGATATTATACACAAAAACAGCTTAATATTTCAAATAATTATTGAGAAATAATCTCGCATTATAATGAAATAAAGAAAAATGAAATGTACCTCCGCTATCGCTTACAAACATATGGGGATCGCTATTGTTGCTCCATCCTTCTCCTGTTCTTGCTCTCATATGTACTTTATAACCCGTGAATCCCTTTGCTTCAAGATAATCATATTCAAATATGCTTCCGCTTACATTAAATTTTTTAAAATGATCCGGCATGTCTTGCTCTTCACGAGGACACCAATTTGGAATCGAGTATAATGGTTTCCAATAGATTACGATTTCAAATTCTTCTAAATAACCAGGTAAATAATCTGGTTCGTTCCAAGACAAAGAGAATTGCGAGTCTGTGATATTTCTGACGTAAAACTCAGGTGGAGATGACACTAAAATAACAAGAAATATTAACTAAAATGAATAAACATTAAATTATATAATCAATTATTAAATGTAGCTTGTAGTATTAGTGGCATCGAACAGCGGCTGGAATTAGATAAAAATTATTTAAAATTACATTTTAGTGGATTTGCACGTGCAACATTTACGACCAATTCACATGAGAATCGAGATTTCTCCATATTGGAAAGATAGTGTTGTTTGTGAGTTATTGTCCATTTTGTTGTACTGCTTATTTATGAAGTACTCCGGCACGATTGATAATTAACTTTCCAACAATCAGTTACATCATTAAATATAAGTCGAATTCCGTTTTTAATTCGTCAATGTAAATAATATTTATTATTTTTTAAATTATAGGTTTAAAATCTCTTATCTTAAAACTACTAATAACTTCGAATATTTGAACGTTGTTTTTTTCATTGCGTATTATTCGAGTGATATTAGACAATGAGATAACAGATAATATCTGAGTTTAAGTACACAACTAGACTTGGCTTCTGAATTGTATAATATTTTGTTTCAGATGAATATTGAGAAGATACGAGGAGAGAATACAATATTGTAGCTATTAAGAAAGTAAGAAATTAAGAAGAAAGTAAGAAAATAAGAAAATGATAAGAGAGATGAATATAAACTATGTTTTGTTCTGAAAAGTATGTACACACACACACATTAGGAGATAAATTAAAAAGTTATGCAGGGCAGAAGATAGCGTTAAAACTATAGATAATATAGTGAAATAAAAAAAATATTTAAAAAAATATTTTTGTTCGATATCATCTCCCAATTTACAAAAATAAGATAATGCAATGACAAAAATTTAAAAATTATTTTTGTTTTTAGAAAAAATATGATTAAAAGGACGTTTTGATATAAGAATAATGTTTCATATTACATACATGAAACGAAACATTAAATTAATTAAACGATAATATTAATAATGTGCGTACCATCCTCCAAAGTTGTGGCATTGACTCCAACACTTAAATCACTGTATCCTGCAATATTAACGGTATGCGCCCAGCAAGTATAACTTGTGAAAGGACTTAATCCCTCTATGGTTGTATTTAGTACGAAAACAGGCTTTGCAGCAATATCGGGATTTATGTTCATCGGGGACACGCGATTCTCGGGCTCGTAGCCTTTCCCTCTTTTCTCTGTATAATTGCATATAGTTATTATAGACGATAGCTGGCAATGATTGTTCTCTTTCTGAATGGTCCAAATCATCGACAGGCTTCTAATATTTGGTGGTATTCCTGGAGTATGCAAAAATGGTGGATTCGTTCCTAAAATATTGAAGAAAATTTTTTCATTATCTATTCTATTTCCTTCGAAACGAGCGAATGTTGAATTAATATTGGATTTTATATACCAATATTACATGAAGACGGAATAATTAGCAAAATATAAGTCAATTTTGCTTACTATATGGAAGCGTGGTAGCGCTCTTGTCTATCGTATCTCCTTCTTTGTCATCTTTATTCACAGCGTTGATAAATATTTGATACATCTCGCAAGCGTGCAAATCCGAAATTATTACACTCGTGTTCGTGGTATTGGTGGTATAGTTGAAATTCGTAGTTATGTAATAATGCTTCAGGCAGAATGTACCAGACTCCGGAGGCTCCCATTTAACGGTCAGCGAAAAATTGCCGGGTATTATGTGAAGAGACTGCGGTGCCGGCAATTCTGCAAATTGTCTATGTATCATACAAATTTATCGAGATCTATTGTCTTGGAATTGATGGAAAGTGAGCATATAAGCGGAGCACGCTGTGACAAAACTTTAATTTGAAATTTATTCACGAAGAGATGTCGAGTGGCAAAGCTTGATAAGTATCTCTCGACTTTACAGAAACAAATTGACCACAAATTTCACAGACATTTTAGGTGTTCTTCGCTATATGTCTCTTCACTTCTCCACCAATTCTGCTAGAACACAGCTTACTCGGCGAAACTGTCTTCGCGGTCTCGTTTGCGCCATAGGACTCCACGGACAGCGTCACCGTTTTGACAGTAAAGTAATACTCTGTGCATATCTCGAGATCATAGGCAGTGTAATTCGTGACAAGGACTACGGTCTTGTTGCAAGACCTTTCATCGCACTGGGTAATCGAGTAGTTGGATATGCATTTCTCGTGAATTGCAGGCTTCTGCCAAGTCAGTTGAACAACGTTGACACCGATGGTGCGTGCGCTTAGAGAGATTACGTTCGCGTCCCAAAAGTCCGGAGCTGAAGAGAATCAGCGCGATAAAGATATTCGTTAATTTCTCATTTTGACGAATCTTTAGTTTTGATAAAGTATAGGCATTATATTCAATAAGCAAATTGTACACTAACTGGCCGTTGTAGCTGATAGAAAGACTCCTTTAGAATCCCAGTAGTCGTTATTAATTGTCACTTTAAATTCATATTGCGTGCATGGATCCAGATCGGTAGCGTTGTACCAGGTGTCCATGCTGTACATCCACGTGCAGTTTTTTTTATCGTCGCATATTTTGATGACATATAATAAGGAGTTTATCGCTTTACACGGAGACTTCCATGAGAGAAAAATCCATTCTGTGCCTATACCATCCGTCTTCAAATCAACTACCTCCTTTGAATCAGCTGAAGACAAAATTGAAAGATTCGAATGCACAAAAGGTCTCAAAATGAAACATACCGCAAGGAATAATCGCTAATCACTTTCCGAATAATTTAGTGATATAATTATAAACAAAAATTTAAATCAATAAGAATAAATTAAATAAGAGAAAGATTCCTATCTTCGGTCAAAGTAGATCTTCGTTATATAAAAATTGACGATCAATGTAATTTATGATATTATTTCTAGCTTCAGTTTATGATTGCGGTTCAAGAAAAATGTACTTGGTATATGAATATTATCAAGATGAGCTTTGAAAATAGAAATATTTTTGTTATCAGTGATATATTATTAAATCCTACAAAAAGAACGAAAAATATATTTTCCTGAATCTTCTATCGTTTAATAATTTATTTCTCGCTTATCGTGAAATATCTACCATTTAAGATTTAAATTTCTCATAACATAAAATATAAAAAAATATATTTAAAAAATATGTTTAAAACTGAACATCAAAAACCAAACACTTTTCTATTCTATCTTGTAATATATGTATATGTTTTCATATTATAATATTTACATTTATCAGTATTTTTAATATACATTTAATAACGGCCATTGACAATTTCTTTCCTCTAATGCTTTCAACATTTTTGGTATTAGTGCTTTTTCTAATGGATATTAATTTTTAAAGCGAATTCTTTAATCTCTTAAATAATTGGACTTTATATCAATATACAAATACGATCAATTTACTTACCATTTGCGTATCTTGGCCACTCCGGATTGCAGTTCGTTGTCTTAATTGTGCTATCGATGGAAATCACATTGTTGGGAAAAGTAACAGGTTTCGTAATATGATCGACAGTGGATGACGAGGACTTATCGGTGACCAGATGGAAAGTATTCAGGGGTTCCACAGTGGATTCGTAGGAAGTCGTGAACGCATCGTCTGTGAATCGTTCATGACGGAAAACCTTGGTTTCCGTCGATTCGGAATTATAATCCAATTCCGTCGACTTGGTAATTGTTGTCCCACTCGACGTAGATACGTCATTGTTGCAGAACACACAGAGGAAGTGGAGAGAGAGAACAAGTAGTATCTGCAGGTGTTTTTCAAGGAACATGTTCTAATGAACGCTGTAAACAAAGCAAAGCCGATCACATGTCCCAATTGTTGTGAAATATCATAATTTATACGTCTTAATGCGAGAACCAGAAATCAATAAAATAGTCTTGCTAAATACAAAAATTCACGTTACATTCGCGTTATTCTCTGAGGTGACGAAATTCTTTGAATTTATGTTATAATTTAATTATTTAATTGCGTTACATTAATTACATAAATATCGAATATTTTAGGAATATATTAGTAGAAAATGTATTTTTATTTCAACTTTTAAGAATTTTACGTGACTTTGAGCATAATTTTCTCTTGCAGCGAGTCACAATGCAATATTTTCAAGTATCATCAGTGACGCAAGAGAGTAAAGATTTCTATTAAAATAAAGCGCATCCTCAGTTAACACAGAGCGGAAATGATTTGGAAAGCCTTGATTTGCACAGCGGTCATATCTATTTCCTTTCACGCCCGTCCGAAGGATCGTGTATACGTGCGTCATTATTCAAGGATGTATCTTGGTTTTTTCTCGAAACTCATAAAAGAAAAAGGTTTTTTGCACGCTAGCAAACGGAAGTTTATTTCCGTGAAATTTGAATTTAAAATTTAAGATATACATAATTGAAGATGTATAATTGAAAATTGCAAACTGTAATTTCAGGGAGAAATAAAAATCAGATCGACGTCGATTAGATGTCGAACAACGTTTAATTATCGATATCGATCCGATTTTTATTTTTCCCTGAAAATGAACGACTCATTCCGAGAAAAATCGGCTCCGAATCGAAGTAATCTGCAATATTTTCAAATATCATTCTTACTTCAATTTTATCATTATCAATTATATATTGTATACATTGTATCGATATATAATAATAATAGATATCGCCGATATTTATGATAATATTTGCAATGTATATATTAGCACTAATCTGAAGCGGAAATTACCGCGGAAAATTCACGAAGGATCACATTTCTTTTGTCTTCGATCAACACTGAGGATTTCACAATCGATGGATTATTATGTAGGAACAACACTTGATCGCTACCGATTGCGAATCGATAATTTATATCGGTAATACTGTGCGCGATACTGCATCGGGTCGCGGGTCTCTCAGTGACTGTTTAAAGAACAGTAACTCATTCGTCGTCGTTGTCTGCGCTTTCGATAATCATTGCCCAACTCAACCGCGCTCGTTGACAGCCTTCCGCCCGGTTGGCTGTTTGTCGTCGCTCTGGTAGTTGATATCACTGATAACGAGCTAAAGTCCACTCGTTCGAGAAGAGTGCACTCTTTTGCGGCCACTTTATTAATCAAATACAAGCGCCGGCCGTCCATCCGACCCCCACAGCACGTTCAATTTTTTACATTCTCTCTCTGTATCGTTCACGGGGAAGGCCGATCGCTGATTTTTCCATCTCGCGCTGATAATTCCGCTTTCCGATATTGCTGTTTAAATCCGCGAAATTTCTAACGTCGAGTCGCGCCAGTCGTACGTCCTTTTCAATTCGAGAAACGGGAGACACTTATTTTTGTTCTGCTCCGTATCGTCTAAATGATTTTTTTCGCAATCAAATGAATCTAGTAAATTCTTTCAGAAGTATCTATTTATGAGATGCCAGCTTTTTCCATTTTTTTTTTTAGTAATAATTTTGTGATTCTAGAAACTCAAATTTTTCTCCTTTTCGTGAATTGATATTTATAATTGATACTCTATAATTGATACTTTACAACTGATTCGGTTATTATTAATCTCATTTATTTTTTTTGGCATTGCCATAATATAACAAAATGTGTGAAATATAATTAAATATAATTGTAGTTATATGTACTTATCACATTTTACGGAAGCTAACAATTTTATCAGAAATAACAA